CCCATAGTGTTACGGGAGGATATAATGACGCCGTAGCACAATAACGTGGCAACCTCCCCCCCCCTCCCCAACTGACAGTACTCCTTCCAGGAAGTTATAGGGGATCCCATGGTGCTACAGCTAATCGAGGATTTTTCATGGGAGACTTCCGCCTCCCTTTTCCTCCTTTTCTGATTCAGTGTCCTTTAACACCCTTCGATCCTTTCTTATCGATTTCATGATACCTATATCTATACATAGTATCCTCAGACCGGTCTACTCGTGAGCTTTTAATCCGGCTTTGGTTCATGTAATTAAGTGTCTGCGTGGGAAATTCAGGAAAAATTCCTACTCGTATATCCAAGTGACAGGAAAAAATGTAGTAGGAGTAACACTAGTAGATGCATCCTGCAGACTAAGCCCCGTTGTTCTGCCTTGGAGAAGGGCCTCCCCAGCAGCTCTTCGTCTTCGGTATTACGGAATATTGTGAGAGGCGGGTTCCTCGTGAAGCCTTTATCTACCAGCTCTATTGCATTTATCCATGTTGCGAAGCTTCTAATCCGGATCTAACGGAATTGCACTTAATAAAGTGTCTCCATGGGAAATTTCGGCTGCTCCGCGACACTTTGGGGTATCATTAAATTAAAAACCATTAGACATATTCTCCATTACATCGGGATCAGACTCTCTCATTGGTCCAAGAAATGTTTCTTTTGCCAATTCTCTCTCTCTCTCTCTCTCTCTCTCTCTCTCTCTCTCTCTCTCCCTCTCTCTCCCTCTCTCCCTCTCTCCCTCTCTCCCTCTCTCCCTCTCTCCCTCTCTCCCTCTCTCCCTCTCTCCCTCTCTCCCTCTCTCCCTCTCTCCCTCTCTCCCTCTCTCCCTCTCTCCCTCTCTCCCTCTCTCCCTCTCTCCCTCTCTCCCTCTCTCCCTCTCTCCCTCTCTCCCTCTCTCCCTCTCTCCCTCTCTCCCTCTCTCCCTCTCTCCCTCTCTCCCTCTCTCCCTCTCTCCCTCTCTCCCTCTCTCCCTCTCTCCCTCTCTCCCTCTCTCCCTCTCTCCCTCTCTCCCTCTCTCCCTCTCTCCCTCTCTCCCTCTCTCCCTCTCTCCCTCTCTCCCTCTCTCCCTCTCTCCCTCTCTCCCTCTCTCCCTCTCTCCCTCTCTCCCTCTCTCCCTCTCTCCCTCTCTCCCTCTCTCCCTCTCTCCCTCTCTCCCTTCCTTCCACGATTCCTGATTCTTCTTTTGTATTTTTTTTGACCATCTCCTCGTAGAACGATTATCAGGAATTTTCCGTCGGAACCAGTGGACAGGGAGCACTTAGTCAAATGGACAATTTCACTGAGTGGATAGCAATACAGACACTCTTAACTTTTTTTAAGCCCATTGAATACCGATTATCTCATGAAGGAATCGAACCATAAAATTGTCGGTACCGCGCTTCTCATTTTCCGTGTTTGAAGGTCGTTTGACTGACTCTTGATTATTTTTATTGAATCACTTTATGGCGTCATTCAGGAATTGACCCTGAGTCGCCTCCAGATATATATATATATATATATACTTTATCGTATATCTGTTTAACAGGTTAACGGGAAAGACGTGGCGAATAAGGAGCAGACTGAAAATTTATTCGCTGAGACGAAAAGTGCTGTGACTATCCTTGTCAGCCGTTGTCTTTATCAGGTAGTTATAGAAATTATGTTTATTATGAATACTTGTTGCTCAATAAGAAGACGCGCCGTAACGACCTTGACACATCATTACACTCCACTTTACGATAATCATTTATTTGCCAGACCGATTGATTCAATTGACATTAATCACCATTTAGAAAAATTATTCATGGCCGGCGTCGGATCAAAGGGTTATAACGTTCTCTGTCGAGTTTGACGTAATCGATGCGCGTCCAGCAGGCATTTTTCTCTTTCCTCATTAAACGGCACTTACTCTTTTCTTTTTTATTTTTTAGGATGATGACTACGACGACCGACGTATATATCATCAGGTAATTGCTTGAAACAATTCAATGGGAATTTATTTAACGTTATTAGTCTCCTTTAGGCCAGGATGTGTACATTTTGGCGGATTGTACAATTTCAGGGATCTCCGCCTATTTCGCCGGACAACATTCCCGCCTATCAGAATAGCATGATTGAGCAATTGATTCGTCAGCAACAACAAACAGACGATCGTACCAAAGATTCTGAGCCGAACACCTCCACTCTAAAGGTTCCACCTCCGATACCATCTCATACCACCTTGCACACATCACACATACAAGCACCACCACCGCCACCACCGATTTCTTCAGGAACGAACTGCTCGACGTCCTCGTCAACGGCATCGTCCCAAAATTCTCAAAAGTCTGGAAAAACGACCACGTCCCCGGCTCACCACAATACCGAGGATCGCAAGCAATGGATGCAGGACACCTTGAAAGAATGTACCAAGAAGATGGATAGTCTTAATCTAAGAGCTCAACAACCTGGTCCATTAACACCTCCGCTTAATGTTAAGCTAGTCGAGGCTTATTCGAGTCACGTATGGAGTGACACGGAACACATCTACGAGACAATTCCTGAATCTGATAGTGAGCCTATTTACTCGTCGCCTTATGAACATCATCAGCATTGGGTTCAGAATCAAAGTAGTCAAGCTCAAATTCAGAGTAGTCAAGTTCAGAATCAGAACCAAGCAAATCAGACCAAACCTTGGCACTCATCTTCCAAAAGTAATAGTTCAGGGGAGGAGAAGGACAGTTCCAGTGCATACAATACCGGAGAGTCCTGTCACAGTAATCCTTTAACGTTGGAGCTGCACCAGGGTGAAAGGGATCATCACAAGAGTACATTGGTGCTGTGTCCACCGAAGGTTCCTCATCAGCCAAAAATAAGTTGTTCCTGTCCCCAATCCGTTACTCAGACGGGCAAGCTATCAAAAACGCAACCATCGAGAAAGAGTTCTCACCATCATCGCGACAGAGATACTACAAATGCCAGTACACTGCCTGCAGATACTATGTATACGAACGTAGCGAATCTTCAACAAACAATGTTGCTCCAGCAACAATTGTTCAAGCAGGCACTCAATCGCAAGAACTCAATCATCACGAGAGAACCTGTTGCCAGGAAGTCGAAATCCCATGGGAACTTTCAAGCACCTAATCTCACTCAGTATCAGTTCGTTGGCAGTCAGCAGGTTTGCACCTCCACAACGACATGGGAACCACCCGAGGACAAATGCGAGGTACAGATGGAATGGAAAGTCAAGAGGCGACCCGACGGCACCAGATACATTGCTAGAAGGCCAGTTCGCAATAGGATTCTCAGAAACAGGGCTATTAAAATATCTGAAGAACGCGCAGGACATACTACAGAAGACGACACTATGTCTGAGATGAAAGTAAGTTTTTCTGATAAACAAAGTAATATTGTATATTCTTTTAACATTTCCGTTCAATCTAGGATACCGAATTCTTTTTTTTCTTTCTTGTTTGTTCAGATTGGGCGATACTGGAGTAAAGAGGAGCGTAAAAGACAATTGGAAAGAGGACGAGAACGAAAACAGCGACAGCAGGAAATTCTGATACAACAGCAACAGCAGCAACTACAACTACAGCAGGTCAACGAACTATTGATCTGCGAGCACACAGAGGAGAAAATGATTAAAAAACCTCTGAATATAGTCGAATTAAGTTATAAAAAAATGGCGCGCAAGAAGACCGCTCTGGACGACTTCACCACTGTCCAGGAAATGCTGGTACATGGGAATAGGGTTGGTACCGGTAGCGGTCCAGGTACAGGTGGAAAACTCATGGGTCTTTTATCGGTAACCACAGTGTAAAATGTCAAAACCAACTGCGACGTAGGGTCATAGTAAGCTCCACAATTTTGCTACTACCGTGTTGGATGCAGGAACAATATATTTTTAAAATATATTCCCAAGGGAGCATCTGCGTGTAAAATAAAATTCGCATGCTAACCGCAAAAAGAGAAAGGGAATTAAAAATTACGAGATTAGTACTGTCGCTTCGGTGAGATTATATATAAGTTCATCCTTCATGAATATTGAAGCGATGCCTAAAAAAAAAAACGAACAAACTTCTGAAATATGGTGAAAATTTTGTCCTTTCTACCTGTCTCCACTATGATCTTTCTACGTTTCTTCATACGCATACGCATGACACGTTCGTTCATTTACTATCAGACAATTTCCCTCCTTGCATACGACAACAGCATGGTAGACGCCAGTGTATACCAAATTACAAATTATTACATTAACGTCACGTTGTCGAATATCCTTACACCTTTGTCACAAATTAGGATCTGTGCACCTAGTTGTAAATATTTACAATACAAACAATAGATGATAGGCGATTTTACATGAGTTTCATATTCTTAGGACGAGGAACAATACTATAGGTATAGGCTTGTAGATATGTACCATAAACGTAACCGCGATATAATGTAAACGAATACATTAGTGTCATATGTGCTTCATCGAGATGAATATATTTGTATCAAAGGCAGCATCGACTGTACCGATTGATTGAGAGATACGTTTCTTGTTTCTCTTCTTAAGAGTCAACTAAATCCCATGAAATTTGTACACTGTATATAATCACATTTTGTATACTAATAATTACGAATTTTATTTACGAAGAAAATTTAATTCTGCTGAATATTCTTTTTTTTTTCCTAAAAATCACCCCGTTAGCTATCTTTCGGATGGTTGATACTCTCTTATATGTACTTTGTGGCATCTCTACTTGTGAATATATAACAAAGCATGTCAATAAAACATTAATGTTGAGACTTATCGATAAAAAGACACGCACATCGTGCCTGATGTGTCGAGAAACCTTGATACGACTTTTTATTGATGCGTGAAGTGTTAAATTACGAGATGAATCGTATCGCCGATTATTTACCTAAATTTACCTAAAATTGCCTGTCACTTCGAGCGCGCTGGAAGATGTGTTAAATACATCGTTGTTGATAGATGCTATATATATATATATATATGGTATATCGATGTAGAAATAAAATGTCTATAACCTAGGAGACACAAGAATCCTTGATGCAACTTTAATTTTACGACACAATCCGAATTCCCAACTTTCAGGTATAACATCGATGTATTTCAAAAGAAATAATGATGGATCAAAAGTCGGTATGGATATAATAAATAAGGGATGATAATAAAATATTGCTGCAAAAGACGCCAGTCGCCATTAATTATTTATAATCTGTTTTAATAAATACTTTAAACAATGCACAATGTTATAAATAAGATTACATTAACTAGAGGCTAAACCAACGCTTTGAAGGTGCTGAATAATAAAATAAGATTATAATGTTATATACTCGGACAAAATCAAAACGTGAAAGATTTAACATACAGTATCATTACGTCGGAGAAGGGGCAAGGGAATGAATTAGCTCGCACTCATGTAGAAAATAGGTAAACCAAGTTAAGAAATAAAAAAAGGAGAACAAAGAAGTTAAATAAAGTCTATATATCTTGAATGATAAATAATCGTTATGTTATAATGCAAAGATTTGCTCGGTGACAAGCTTCATCTTATATACCACGTTAAACCTTAAAATGATAATATGCATCATTGTTTTTACAATAATTAGCAAATTACAATTCTTGGTATATCTCTTATACCTTACATGTTCAAATAAAATAGCGCACGCAATGCATTCTAGACAGCAGAAACAAGGGATCTCAAATCAGGTAAACTTCATCGTCATTATCGTCAGAATAATAATCACCGTTATAATCATTATCGACTTGTGTCAAAGAATCGAGGCAAATCAATTGTGAACTCGACCTCTACTATATTTTATTTACAAATGTATACAGACATTATGATTCCAAGAGTATCGCATTTATATCAAACGGAAATGGTATGTATGATGCTCTCGTATTTCCGCAAAGTAGATGAAATAACTTGTTACCGAACAAGTTCAGATGACGTGAACAAAAAAACACGGAGGAAAAAGCAGAAAAAAACAATGTAATAAGAAAGGCGCACGCAAAATCAGATGCTAGCAACTCTAATTTTTGAACCCTTCGAACAACAATGACGGAAGGTAGTCTGAATCATGATTTTCATTGGTAAGTACAATGTAACACGCATGTTGTTTAGAGTATTCTCTAAGAGCTTATCTCTTCATAAATCATTTACTGTTATCTCTATCTTTATTCTCGCTCTCGGATCCATAATAATTCTAGAACAATTGTTAATCTTAACATGATAATCAATGTTATAAGTAGTGGTGTAATCGGTACCATTTATATCTTTCAGTACGCCTAATATTAATTCATCTCTCATATATAAACGAACCTTTCTATCTCTTAAATGTGTTTAAATTTTTTTTTCGCACTCCTTAAGACCTAATATAATTTAATATATAATTTATTTGTAATTCATATCATTTTCTACTCCGCTTATACAGTATGATCTTTTGCTTTTTTATTCGCGTTCAAGTTCAACGGGATTAATAACTCCTTCTCGTGACGTTCACCCTTTTAAATAATTGCAATTTCAGAGAAACGTGCGCACTTCGTTGCCTCCCTAGTGATATAGTTCTGACGTGTGAAGAGTACAAAGTAATTGATTCAAACAGGATACGTAATGACGAAGCTTCTCCGAAAGGAAAACGTTGAAAATCTACTGCTTATCCTTACGCTCGTGTTTATGTGTAAATATATTTTATATATATAAGAAATGCTCTGAGAATCTTGAGACGCAAAAAAATTTCTACAATCTTGTAAAAAATCAATTATATCAATGTCACATGTCGTAAGGAAAAGCAGAGTGATTGAGTAAGTAGACGGCTTTCAAGAGAAAATTAATAATCACGCCGACATATTTTCCAGTGCCGTTCACTTCACACCTTTCCGCTTTTGTATAATAAATAAAAAAAAGTACAATATAGAGTTTGACGTAATTTTCGTTTCATTATACAGTAAATACACTGTTTGGCCATTATGTCGAGATTATGCGAAAACAGAATGATAATAAATAAGAAAAGGAGTGTGTGTGTGTGTGTGAGCGCAAAAGAAAAAGAATGAGAATGAGAGTGCGATGAGAGGAAATATGCAATACAAAGAGAAAAGTGCGCCACTCGGAAAATAAACCTTGTGAGAAGATGCAATCGACTAATTTCTGTGTGACTTTAATTAGAGCCATGTTTACAAACGAATCTACATTTATGAAGCTAAGTTGAACATTGACGCCATTCATAAATGAACCTTTTACGAGTCAATACCGGCTTAGAGGAGTAGAATCGCGATCAGCTTTGACGCGGTACGGTCAAGTGTGATAGGATGTTGAAGCCGATCTCGTAAATATGCAGGACTCTGTGTCAGCGGATAAGTAATTACTGCTTTTTAATGACCCTACTCGAATGCGCAAGAGAAGGGTTTATTTGTTTTATGCCAGATTGTACACGTAACAAGAGTTGAGATAGCGAGATAGATGTGAGCGAACGTATTTGATTTTGAATCTGATGTAAGCGATGCGATTTCTTTTGTTAAAAAATAAAATAAAAGAATGAACCTTCAATATCGATGTCGTTTTCGTCATTTAGTTTTGTTATACTCGTAGAACGACAATTCTCTAATAATGCTATTTCCGGCGAATGCAATTGGCATTGCTTAAATATTATTTATTATCGGTAAGAACTCTTGATGGATTCATTTCTTTCTTTCCATACGATATAGCCTAGTATCCACATGTTGAATAACGTATGATGGGTGTCCTCACAGTGTTATATAATATATGATTATTTAGCCGTAATGTATCAATCGGTATCCATTTTATAATATTAGCTAACAATGGTTAAATGTATAATTCGCTTTTAAACTATTTTATATCTAGGCTCGAAAGCATGTATGATAGATTAAGTAGTTTCATTTATTGCTAGATAATTTGACTGAGATTTTCGATACTGATCTTTATTGAAAGTAATTTCCCCGTAGAGCTTTCCGTTCTAAATGATTTGTTTGAACGAAATGAAGAGATTTAGTAAAGGCTAAAGTTTTGCTTTTAATCTTAAAAACAATAACGCAGAAGGAACGAAAAAGTATTACGTCAAAGTATAAAACATGAACATCGGAGCGATCTGTTGCAATCGTTGCAAACGGAACTTTCTTCGCAAATTCTCAAACGTGTCAGTTATGTACAATAATTCATTATTATGCCTTCCGTTGAACTCATTAATTATACATACTTGAAAGCCAAAAAGTTATCATATTACTCTTATCATTTATAATAACCTTAATAATTTCACGAGGTCTCGGAGGCCTCTTACTACAAGTGACTTATGTTCCTCGATAAATAATTTGTTCGATATTGCAAAAAAAAGAAATCTACAACCAACGTATCTTATTTTAATTCTTGTTCGATCTGTAGTATAAAAAGAAAGAGAACGGAAAGGAGACAAGAAGTAACAGTACGAAAAAAAAAGAATTCTTTTTTATGTTACGGAGTAACATACATCAATTCTTACGATACGAAGTAACGTAAATCAAAACCATTAAGAATACTGCAGAACGAATACTTACAACCCTAGTCACACTTAGGAAATACTTCAGGGCCAATCGATTTACTTACTGCTAAAGTAAAATACTTGGAAATGAAAAACCACCGAATCCAGTCTTCTGTACCGTATTATAAATCGTTATGGTAACTTTCTGGCTACAAGACCATGTATAACACACAGTGCTTCGTGACAATTGGTATCACGACGGACACATATTTGACAAAGAAATAAAAAGAAGTTTACTGCATAAATTTCGATACCTGGATACAACGTAAGTGGGCTGGTTGCTGTATCCTCTTCTGTTGAATCAACGTTGAAGTAACGTTTATTTTTATTTTTATGAGTCGTACGACGACGATCCATGGTCGTGGGCAGGACTTGGTGGTGTCGATGGGTTTGAACTATTGTTCGAGGCTATCGAATGTCGTGGACTTCCACCAGACGCGTGTTCCTAGAACAAGCGAAGACAAATAACTGAACTAATAAATAAGACTATGAAAAGGAAAAGCACCATTTACATTTAATAGTCCCTGAAGTTGTGTATCTAAAATTTATACTGATAGGTCTGTATTCATACTCTTACATACTAAGTACTCTTATAACCTTAGAGAGCCGGCGTTTTTTTTTAACAGCAGAAAATTTTAGACATTATCGATGGATAGCTCGCGTGAAAATATTAAGCCGATTTAAAGATAATGTATTGTTTTCCGACCCCCTAAGGATGAAACTAAAGTTATCATTAACGAATAATCATCGAGATTTTAGGTTATAATTGCGATTCCTGATTCGTTAAATGTACCTAAAAGATGCTATAAAAGAGAGGTATGAGCACCGGCCATAGAATGAATACATACCTTATCGTGCAAGGAGGCGATACTACCAAGAGAAAGAGGCGTATGCGATCGCAAATGCAATGATTCCGAATCAACTTGATCTACAGGTGTACGTGGAAGTGATGGTGGTGTCGCAGTTGGTCTTGGAGGTGCCGGACCTCGTCGCGACGAAGTCGAACCTATGGTTAAATCGTTTTAAAATCCGACTTATACGAATCATATGAAACACAAGTTTAATATAAACGAAATATTTCGTTCATTGGACACAACAACAACAACAACAATAATAATAATAGTAATAATAGTAATAATGTGTTTATTACCAAGACGGTATAGACAAAGGGCGAGAATCATGTAGTAATGTAGCTATTTTACATTCTGCCCAGCTGAACAAAACTTTGATTTACCGTTATGTGGTGAATATCCAGAATTTCGTGTCATATGCGAACTGAGACGTCGTGAATCAGCCGGTGGATGTCTGGGTGGCAGTGGGGCTGGCTTGTTCGGTGCTTGCAATGCTGAACCATATAACTGCACAACAAGTACATGTTATATAGAAAAAAAAGGTAAATAACAATATGGCTTTAATATAACAATTGTCTATTTACGCATACTCTCTGTTGACTACTGTGAACGTGCGTGCCACTTTGATGTCCTGAATATTGTTGCTGATCGGCCGTTTCTAACGTAGTTGGTAGATCTAGCAGACGTTGAATCTGAATAAAAAGTAATAAATATGTTAAATTTTAATTATTAGACATATGGCGTATATATAAAAAAAAAAAGTATTTGATGTATGACCTGTATTCCATTGCCAGGTCCCATATGGCTAATGTGATTGAAGTTAGTAGGAGCGGATATCATCTTGGACCGCCGATCTGTTGGACGCGCAGCTCTATTTCCCTCGCGCAAAGAGAATCTTCTTCGTGGTCTTGTCATTTGTCTTCCACTAGCGTCTATCGGAGTTAAATTCAACAATTCTCCTAAAATACAGAAAAAAAAGATCCAACACAATTATTTGACTATCTCACTTGTTAGAAAACTTTAAAAACAAATCGAGTGATACACACGTTGATGTAAATTACTCAGGAAAATGACATGGGGCATATCATTAATGATACAAGTGCTGAGAGAACCGGAAGTATTCAATGGCCGAGCTCTTTTAACATTGAGTGTCTGTAGCCAATCTCCAGTGGTACAATCAAACACATCAATATGAGTCTCGCTATAAATCAACAGGTAACCTTCACAATAGCCTGTTAAAAAAGCAAACATGAATGAAACTTATACGCATCCAAGAAATAAAATTATTAAAAAAAAAAAAAAAAAAAAAAAAAAAAAAAAAAAAAAAAAAAAAAAAAAAAAAAAAAAAAACGGAAAAAACAGATACTTACTAACTGCTGTAGGGACAGCTGGATACATGATTTCGCGATCCCTGCTTTTCCGTCCCTGACTGTCAACATAAACTGCCAATGTATGAAAGACTAATAAAAATTCACCACGTGGCAATTCGATACAACGTAATGCATCCACAGCACTATATGTTAAAAAACCCAGTAAGGTGTTCTCGGGATGAACCAATGCTGAAAGACCAATATAACATTGTAGACTGATCAAATTGAATTCAGCATATACATATATTATTAAAAGAGGAATTACTTACAAATTGGATGATGGTCTCCCAAAATACTGTAGATAGAGAAGCCAGACGGATATCCCACGCAAAGACGACCCTCTGAAAGAACCTGTAGTGTTTGTGCGTGACAAGGTAACATACGTTCACGAACGCGTTTGTGCCGTGTTTTCGTTCGCGTTATTTCATAAACAATCACTTGCGATGCATTCTGCAATAAATCAATAATGTTATATTATTCAGTCCAGTAATTTGTTGTGTTAACGTTTTCGGTTACCTGTTTTTTTATAGCAACACAGAGACAGTAAGTGAGCGGATTTCGGCACACTACACCTGTGGTCAATGTGATGCAACCTTTAGTTTCTGCTACCTTAATCCATTCCACTTCATCTCCATCCAACGCTCGCACAGGAACCAATCTTACGTGCCGCTGCTTTCCACTAAGCACCACAATTAACTGTTCTTCTGTTACGTATTCCAGAAGGTATATTTTCTTACCCTCACCAACTCTTGCTATCTCTGATTTGAAAAGAAATGAACAAGTTAATTAGGCTGAGGTTGCACAAACTAATAAAAAAAAGAATTAACTGTATTCTTACCACTACGATCTAAATCTAAACAAAAGAGGCCCTCCTCGGTACCAATGACTAGACGATCAGGATCTATGATTGCTCCTGACATCACGTTTTTAATGAGTGCCACTGTATTATCCAGCAGTTCCTTGGCACGGAAGATCTTCAGAAAAAATATAGAAAAAAAATTGTATTAAGCCATTGTATTAGTTAAATTCCAAGTCTTCCTTCTAATGATCGAGTACATACTGTTGTATTTGGAAGATTATTTCTCTTTAAAATCCGATGAAGCTCACTCAAGGCTACTACCCACTTAGTTTTTTCGCTCTCAGTATCCGCAAGCATTAACGTATGATTTCGTAAGCCAGGTGGCTCCAGCAGAGACGTCGTTATCTGATAAATCATGGATATTCATATTAATATTTATTGATTCATATAACGCAATAATTTCGATATATTATATAACTTTACATACTCACCCTAAATATACATGGAATGTCCTTCTTTGTCGCGTGTATGACATCAGAATCGCGTACCGAGCTAACACTGAATTCCTCATCCCGCATATCGAGAACTTGTGAGACGTAAACCGAAGGTAAAGCATTACGATCGGGCGAGATATCGTAGAGAAACAATTTGAAATCACAAACAACTACAAATTGTCTCACCCAACCCTTTTTCACACCACCCATTTTCGGCACTTTAACATATCCCTCGTAAGCAGTACCAATGCCTCTGGTGGGATCAATACCCAAAGGCCGTTTGGCTGCAATTGATATTTGAGGATAATGAAAAAATATTTTGTAATCTAAGCAATTTTCGAAAAACGTAATAATAAATAAAATAAAAGAAGAAGAAGAAGTAAGGAACCTACTTTGATCGTGGGGCACTGGACACATAGAGGGCACTTTGTCACAGCAGGGCATGTGGCAAGCAAAACCACAAACTTCGCATACAACTCCTTGTCTAGTTAGACCAACCATTAAAGAAGTGCAGTGATTGCACTTAGTGGGTGCAGAAAATGTTCGTACTAGGAACTGATGCGATTTTGGCTTTGGTTGTAAATTGGTCTGCCCGTGAGATGGTGCTGACTTATTCAGCAATTCGTGAGATAGAGGCGATGTTGGATCCTAAAATTATACACAAAAAGTGTACTGTAATATGACATAGCCAATACACTTTACACTATTAATAAATATAATCAGATACTCACGATACTTAGTTCAGATAAATTGCTCTTACTACTTGCAATACTTGGTGCACGGTTGTCTTCGATGTCACCTTCAACGCTATCAACACTTCCGTGACGTGTACTACTGGCTGTTTCCTTGAGAAAGTGTTCCAGGTAAGACATTTGAGAGGTAGGACGTTCCAAAACTGAAATGATTCAAAAAGATGAATTACAATGCGTAATAGAAGAAGATATTAGGAAGATGATTATTAGGAATGTATGATGTCGCAAAAGCATCGGATCTCGTACGTTATTCATTGAAATAAAATAAACATGATATTTGTCGCATTTGGATTTCAATACGTACTTTACATAGCACATTTATACCAAGATTATGTATCCTACTTTTCTAAGAAAGCCAATGACATGACAAAGTAAGAATGCTTCGTATTGTCATAGTCGAAAAAAATTAATCTGACAGTTAAATCTAAACCATAACGTTAAGAAGTCATTCGTATTAATTTGTAGACTACTCCATAAGAATTGGTACAAGCGAGGCATTTTCTATTTCCACAGTCATATTTCTTATTCCTTTTCCACTATACAGAGATAGATGTGTGAAACCACAATGTTTTTAAAAAAATTCAAAATCTCATTGCGTATCAACATAACGCGTGACCCAAATAGCCCGGTAAGAAAATTTCATCAAACATTGTGTAGCAATTGAGAATCTCATAAATCGACAACTCCACAGCAATCCGTACCACACAAAATTGGTTAACGCCAATATCATAATAAACGGTATTAAGTACACAAATGTCCATTCAAAACGTGATAGTATATCGAGAACATTAATTGGGGTAGAGAAGACATACTATCATAAAACACGCGTAACAAATCGAAGCAAATTGGTTCTAAGTCTGACGCGTCTGCATATCGACCTCCTATTAATAATTGCCACACGTATTATAACATAAAAGGGAAAGAGAAGATGAACAAGGAGAGAAGGTAAAGATAAGAACATGAGTACGAAAACAAGATGCAACTCTCACCGAAATCTTTTCGCTTTTTAAATAAGAAGAAACAGAAAAGATCTAAACGAATGACAATAGAGGTGGTGGATTTCTTAGGTGGATTTCTTAGGTGGCTCTCTACGGGATTAGCGTATAAGTTAGACAAAACGCCGACCAGTGACTAAGTAAAATTAATAAAAATCAACTATTTACATTTCAGTTAACACAGTGCCTGTTAAATAGCCACAGACAGGTATGTTTTGGTAAGAGCAACGATGATACTTTTTATCAATGATCTATCTAATTTCCATATGCAGCTATCAATGACGGTAGAAGGTAGAAAGAAATCGAGTGTACGAATGAATAGGTAGTAGAATTATTCAAATCAATTAATTTATAGACTTACTGCCGATCTAGAAATGATATGCTCGAAACAAGAGAAAATAAGAGAGATCATTGATCCACCAAAAACATAGCGCTGCTGTTCAGTAATTAGCAATTCAATCGGGCAGCCAATCAAAGTCGCACTTCCTGCCACATAATTTACCAGGCGACGATACGATGGTGACAGCACTACGATTGACGATTGAGTTGGCAGGGACGAATCTAGTTAATAAGCGACATGTGATGATGTGGGGAGCACGCATGACTGGTAGAGGCGACGACGGCTGGTGCACGAAGATACGCTGGGGTTTGGTAGTAACGATGCTTGACGATTTGCTTGACGATTTGGTGGGTAGGACAGCTGTCACAAATACAGTTTGATGATGAGCAACAAGAGGCCCCACACGCAGCTCGTTACGCCAATAAAGAGAGGCACTTTGTAGTCTAGAAATCAGAATTGCATTGCGTACCGGAGTTCGGGTTACTAATGATGAACGAACATATCCAGTCGCATGAAACTACAATCGTGTCTTAAAGCTTAATAGATTTTCTATGATACTATGCTCCGTATATTTCTCTGCGCTCCAGAGAAGTATATCCGACGTTATAACACGTTAAATTCTCCATTAACATTAACCCGAAAGGCTCTCTTCACGTTTGAATAAGAACTGACATCAGATAGAAGGTTCTAACATCATCAGCGTTTCACTGACTGTATAACTACTTTATTATTCTAGCGTTATACTACGATAACATACGCTCTCTTCTTTATATTGATTCAGTTGAACAACCAAGTTTCGAGCGAGTTAACGGGCGCGCCAGAGGCGCTACAAAAATTGGTAAATGTGGTCTATCACAATAAATAAGTCATACGCCATGATTCTATTCTTGATTACCCTAGCCGAGGAATTGTTGCAGCGCCTCCCATAATTATAATAGCAATTATACGTATTAATGACACAAAATAAAAGCAACTGGGTAACAAAGTATAATCCTCCGTGAAACCGTTACATGTAACAAGAGACAGGCATCCATGGAAATATTTAACGTAAAAAATATTGTACATATCTTATCTCTTATTTCAATTGCACGATCTGCCGCTCTTTGACACGTTTATAAGAATCAACGACAATAACACCAATTCCTATTTAACTTCACGGACAATGACGGCGAAATCAGGTGCAATAGAAATATATGGCTTATACCATGTTTTCCCGATTATTGAACGCGCTTTATTAAACAGTCAGTAGGTGGTTAAGAAATACTAAGACAAAATACAGACTACGAATTTTGATAAACCTAATTCAAGGTGTTTATCCAATTCACCCTAAGCACGGTAGGTTGACGAGGTATTTGACAATTGCACCACACAAAACACAAATCTCTCGTACATTTCTGAGTTACGTAGCATATAAGATAATAACTATGGAATTGAGCTATTGAAATATTCAACATACGTAGATTTTAAGTCCACTTTGGCCGCCAGTCATTTGGTTGTTCGATGTACCATCGGAAGACCATTTGTATACGTTCGATTGTATCAAACGGAAATAATACGGTCGAACAATCGTATCGACTGTACATTATTTTTTTTCTGAGCAAAGAATCTGAGAGACTCAGTAATTATGTACTCGAGCATTGAAATACTATTGGCAAGTCAGATGACAAAAAGTAGCCTAGAGTCCATCGCCCGTCCTCGTGCAATGGTGCCACTTAAATGTACATATTTGACCCTATAATCAACCCAATGGGTATTATTATTTCACAAACATATTTTTCATGACACTTTTTTTTTAATGAAAGTCTTCTCATCTATATTTGAATTATTGTTTAATAATAACGCGTGCAATTACTCGTTTAGTTCAATTTTCTAGTTAAAACAAAATGAGCGCTTAAGCCCGCTTTACGTAATCCTGAAAAACTGGAATTATTACTTCCGTTATATGTAATCAGTATTCAAATCGATTGTAGCAAAGTAGCACAAACTTTTGTAGACCTACTCTAGCTTACCGTTACAGTTAGCAAAAATCGATGAAACTAGGAACTCACGAAAATGTGAAGATTACAAACGTTACACATAAAGACTGTCATTAATAACTATTTATTCATGAATAAATAATAAAGTCATTCACACAATAGTAAGTGATTTTTATAAGCTGATAAGATTCGGTACTTTTAAATGTAAAATTCTTGTGCTAAATATTTCCATGCTTGAAAATGTATGACCCAAACACTAAAGAATAATGTTCTGCAACAGCTTATCGCTACATAACGACATAATCTAATTTTGATTTGTTATTATCGTTTAATATCACATTTGAATAAATCTTAAAATTTTACATCAGGCACTATCGGACCTACGTGAACCTGGCACCCGACTTAAAAATATTATAATTTTCAAAACGCGATTCGATTGTATCCCGTTTGTACCTGTTTGTACCACTTTAATTTTCGTTTGTACCACAAAGAATTGGAAATTACAGGGGGGTCAAAAAACCGCTAGCACCCAACTTGGAGTAATTTAAATTCTGTTTGCAGGGATGAATTTAGAATCGTTTGTACCCGTCTGTACTAACGTTAGTTTCGTTTGTACCCCAATGGGTAAGGAGATACAGGATTTTCAAAATTTACTAAAGGGTAACTCCGCCATTTTTTGAGCTGGCTCAAATCTGCGAAGGATTGCTAGTTTAGAATTGTTTTCATCTATTGGAATTGTTGATTACAGTACTGTTAACATTAAAGAGTAATTTATTACTCTTATTATTGTAACTATCCTAATTATAACATACGAATAAAATAATATTGATTGATAAAGTTAATTCAGTAGAATACAAATGCAAATAAAGGTAAAGTAAAATTAGTAATCTTCTTGACTTGGTTGATTTGAAAATGTAAGTAATAATACCATTCAAAAAAATTTAGCTAATTTGTAGAAATTGTGGATGATAAATTAAGACGTTTATATAGTCCGAAACTGTATTCAAAACGCCCTGGAACTTGTGAATGCGCAATGGAATTAGAAAAATATTCAGCTTATTTCTATAAACAAAATACAATCGTAGCAAGTCCTCCCTTATTCTATTATTCTATTAAATTATTATACTAAAATTTTAGAATGCGATATTATTATACGGAATATAAACTTGAACAAATGTTCATAAGGTTTAACACAAAAATTCAAAAAACATAAGCGACAAAAAATGTAAAAAAACAAAAAAGGAAAAAAAAATGTTTTTATATATTAATATTTATCGAAAGGAAAGGAGGTATGTACAAACGGGTACAAACGATTCTAAATTCATCCCTGCAAACAGAATTTAAATTACTCCAAGTTGGGTGCTAGCGGTTTTTTGACCCCCCTGTAATTTCCAATTCTTTGAGGAAAACAAAAAAGGAAAAAAAAATGTTTTTATATATTAATATTTATCGAAAGGAAAGGAGGTATAAACGGGTACAAACGATTCTAAACCAGCAACCCTTCGCAGATTTGAGCCAGCTCAAAAAATAGCGGAGTTACCCCTTAGTAAATTTTGAAAATCCTGTATCTCTTTTTCCATTGGGGTACAAACGAAACTAACGTTAGTACAAACGGGTACAAACGATTCTAAATTCATCCCTGCAAACAGAATTTAAATTACTCCAAGTTGGGTGCTAGCGGTTTTTTGACCCCCCTGTAATTTCCAATTCTTTGAGGTACAAACGAAAATTAAAGTGGTACAAACGGGTACAAACGGGGTACAATCAAATCGCGTTTTGAGAATTATAATATTTTTAAGTCGGGTGCCAGGTTCACGTAGGTCACTATCGGCTACATGTTAAAATTCGTCGCGGCGTGCCTTTAATAGATATATTGCGGAAATAGAATATCAAGTACAATAAAAAGAAGATTCACTCGAAATCCTGGCATTTTTTTTTCATTATAGATATTTCGTAAATTTTGTCAAACATAGTATATAAATAATGGTAAATGTGCTACGTGAAAAAGCACCCATGTTGTACCTACTAATAGTAAAAGAGAAAAATTGAATTCAATCCAAGGATTAATCGGCTAAAAGCGTATATCCAGTACTGTAGGTAGTTTTTTCACCTCTTCAACTATAGCTTTTACTAAATGCCCAGATTTAAAAAGCTTCGTGAAGTGTCACCGGTTGTGAACATAATATAAATAAATATAAGGTATAATTGTAGTTACACATGGTATAGTAAAAAATGTTGTCATGTCATTCTAAGTTCGTCTTTAGGATAACTTTGACAACCTGACGGATAACAATTTTTATCCTTTGACTTATATTCACCAATTCCTCCTATGTTCTACCATTTTCAGAGAATTCAACGCAGAATAACAAAATGATAAATAAAGAATGCGTCAAGTTATTTTCCAAAGAGGCCGCCAGATATATTAAAATGTTTGCAGGCCACATAAAGAGCGTGAATCGCTGCGGTTTGTATCACTACCATGGATACCAATTTTTCATAACTACGGGATGGGGAGTTTTTCATTGGACTTTCGTTTGATGTATTATCGATAGATGTGTACTTACAGCCGTCGCCGGTGTCTAGACGCCCCTGCAACTCTTTTATCTGTATTTCCTTCTTTTTCAAGTCGTGAGACATTGAATCTAACCTTTGTCGGAAGTCCCTTAATTCTCTATGAACAAACACGATGTTAAATAATTTCGAAAAATGAATTAAAAATATTCTTCGAATTCAGGGAATGTGACCGAAAAGCCATCTTACTTTTGCGCTGCTATCAAATCCGATCGCGTCTTCGTTAATTCTTCGGATATAGCTTGCTTCGCCTGTATTTCACTTTGGAGAGAACTCTGAAGATTTAGCAGTTCCATTTTATCCAATTTTTGTGATCTACGATTGCGCCAGTTTTTATCTGTCATCGTCGAACCACTGCCCACGCCTCCAACTCCACCAGAATGTTTGAGGAATTCAAGTTCCTCCGTCATTTTCGTCGCCAAAGCCTTATTGAAACAAGAAAAAAGAAGCAAAATATTTGTTTTTGATACTATAAATTGAATTAAATGAAGATAAGTACACACCTGCAAGTATCCTCTGGCATCCTTTTCGTCTGACACCCATTGGATAATTTCAGTAATCTGAGCTTCCCACTGTGCAATGGCTTCTTTCTTATTTCTGAGATCCTCATATTCATCTTCCAGTTGCCTCCTCTCACCTTGTATTCTACTCATGCTCTCCGTCATAGAGCCAAGTTCTATCATAAGCTTTTTATTCTCCTCAACGAGCATCATTTTTTCTCTCTCGTGGCGTCTATTCAGTTCGTTTATCGTTTCTTCACTATCTGTAATATTTTCCAATCTCGCTGCATCGAGTTTTTCCTTGGTCACCAGTACTTCGCGTTCAAGTACCTCGCGCCTAGTTTCACCCTCGTGCAATTGCTCTTGAAGACTGCGTATCTCCAAATTATACCTGCTCTGTTGTTGATTCAAATTTTCATTGTACTGCACTTCGAGTTTTTCAACTTCTGCTTTGAGTCTGTTGATTTCCTGGGTGGCTAAAGCCTGATTTGTACTTGCATCGTTACCCATAGAGCGCTGTCTTATTTTCTCAGTTTCCTCCTGCATTTGTTTACAATATTCCTCACTACGTTCACGCAACTTCCGTTCTTTGCTGGTTTCCGCTATCGCCTCCTCAACTCTGTTCTCCAATTCTCTTCGCAACTTTTCAGCCTTTCTTATGTCATGTCGCAGACTATCAACTTTTTGCATTACTACTTCCAGCTCTTCCTCCTTATCCCTAACCTGCCTGGATAATTTTTGCTTTTGCTGTCGCAGCTCAGACAGTTTATCAGTAACTTCTGCATATTCTGTCATTGCAAGTTTACGTTGAGTCAATGCATCCTTGAGTTCCTTATCCTGCAGCTTCAACTTCTCTTGAGCGTCCAGTTTATCCTTGATTGCTTCCTCCTTTTCAGATCTCAGAATGCGTATGAGCTTCTCAAATTCGCGTATTTTACTTGCGTCTCCGTTGTCCACATTGCGCAATTCGCGTGGCACGTCCATGGATTTCAATTGAGATTCTAGTTCTGTTGAATAATAACGCATTATGATAAGATAATACTCCCCTCACGTAAATGGATTTATGAATGATATGCGCAGATCCGCGTTAGTAGAAACTTACCGCAATTTCGTTTCGTTAACGTATTTATTTCATCTTGCAGCTTTCTCGTTGCGTTATTAGAATCAGGAGAAATAGTGGGAGAAGTGTGCCCTACACCGATTTGATTTTTCAAATCTGTCACAGTTTGCATTAACTGAGCATTCTCTTCTTCCAGCATTTTAACATTTTTATCTTTTTGAGTTAAGGTTGGCACCGAACCCAAGTCAGATATACAACTGCGATACCAAATCATGTGGATATTACTTTCAATCTTTTCATTATTAATTATTCTACACGGGAATTACTTACCTTCCTTGAGTAAAGCTAAATCCGACAAATGGTAGATGAAGAGCAGAGAATGCAGAATTAGCAGATGGTGGAACTGCGTCGGAACTCCGAACATCAGTGTCATCAACGTCAAAATTGGACGTATCTGTCGGTGAAGAAACCTCAGGAATGTAAGGTACCGTACTATCCCTTAAAGTATCCCAATTCACACCTTCGAACCATGGATGTTTCTGCAATCACAGACTTATAATAATAATTTTAATTTAATTACAGTGCATTCGAGATGTAAATATAAATACCTTGAAATCCTCAACTCCATTTTGTCCTAATCTAAACTCGGAACTGCAAATTAACTTTCGCATCAAATCCTTAGCCTCTTCAGAAACATCATATATATCGTCTGTCGGGAAATCGAAGCAATTCTGAAAAGAAAAAAATTTTAAGACTACCATTAATTTATTGAATCATTTTTATATGTACAGAAAAATTGTTAATGAATAAAGTATTATAAACCTTGTGATTCATTATTTTCCCGTATGTTTCGACTAGAGATTCAGCATAAAATGGGGTTTCGCCATAAAGCATCTCGTACATGCAAACGCCTAAGGACCACCAATCGCATTCAGGTCCGTATCTTCCCTGTCCATCTTCCATTGCCTGCAACGTACGTATCAGTCATACTGTATGTCTGTCGTTTTAAGAGTGTACATTAAAAGACATCATAGTGAAACTTACTCTGAGAATCTCGGGGGAAATATAATCTGGTGTACCGACGGCAACGTTACTTTGTACAGTGCCATCTTCAAAGAGTCGAAGGCATGAGCCAAAATCGGCTAAACGGATGTGACCATTGGCATCCAGTAGAACGTTATCCGGCTTAATGTCACGATGTACGTAACGTAGATCGTGTATGGATCCGATCGCTAGCACCATTTCTGCTATGTAAAAACGAGCCATATCCTCAGGAAGTCGATCTTCAAACTTGCTAAGTAACGTCAATAGGTCTCCACCGCAATAGTAATCCATGACCAGGTACTACGCAATATGTATTAGTACATATATAATAGTTACATTGAATAAAAAATTATCAACCAAACCAATTTTTTAAAGTCGTAATTCATACCAGATTATTGTCATCCTGAAAGGCATAATGAAGATTTGTAATCCATCTGCGGTCGCCATATACGAGAACGTCGCGCTCTTCACGGAAGCAGGCAGTTTCAGCACGCTTTAACATTTCCCATTTGTTCAAGATCTTCATAGCGAAGACTTTATCAGAACCACGCATTCGCACGACACACACTTCACCAAATGCACCGCGACCAATCAAGTTCAAGGTTTCAAAATCTTCACGTGCTAACTGCAGACTTTTTATGCAAGAAGCTACTGGCTTCACTATAGAACAAAATTCATAAACGATAATAAATGCCATACCTTGAAAGTATAGATATCTACATGAAATACATACCAAATTCAATGAAGTCTGATACAGTCTTTTCTCGACGAAGAGATGAGTTGCAGCACTCATCATAGAGAACTAAGAGAACATCTATTAAAGTCTCTATAGAGAATGTATGGCCTGCGCGACCTCCTTGCACAGGACCCCCAATAAATAATGCCTCCAATTGACGCAGCCTTCCTCCTACCCCTATCAACATAGTAATTTACTTTGTTTAAAACTATTAATACAAGACAGAATAATTGCTAATATATTGATATGGGTTTACCATTAATTACAAGTCCTTTAGGCATTATATCAGGTGGGGGAAGGCTATAATGGTGCGGAGGTGGATCAGACATAATTCCTTGTTGTTGTGGTGGTGGTCCTTCACCACGATCTTTTGACGATGCTTCTGTCATCGTTTTCACAACCAGCTAGAAAATCCTCAATCCACCACCACATTACTATATAATCTGTACACTGTAACATGTTTTACATACAGTTTGATAAGATGACAGTATTGTTATAACGAATTTCTCATACTAAACCCTTTGAGTACACAGCTCTTCAAATTTAAACACTTACCGGACACATATATGCGTCCATAGCACTCGAAGGGTTAAGTACTTAGCAAATACTGCATATTTGGCATCAAAATTAAGTTTTAAAAAATTATTTAATATATAATAGTTAAAATTTGTATCATTATTTTAATCATTCTCAATAACTGCAGCAACATTAAAACAGGACAAATCTTGACCTATAAATATCATTTTTCTTGAAACCAACCAACATACAGTAAATACAGTCAAGTGAATAATTTTTCATGGGAATTTCATCTTAATGGGAACTACTTTCACTATTTCACAGATAATTCTGTTTACAAAATGTTGTGTAATCAATTATGCTACATTCCCAATAGCTCTTTCTAAAGTGAACCATAAAGGGCAATATTCTCCTATTCACGAATGAGTAATTTTGGGCAAAAAATCAATTCCCCCGAAAATTACGTATTGCACGCCAAAGACCGTATCTAGGGGAAAGAATGTGACTTTCATTCAACTCATTTTTAGCCGTACACACGAAGTCACGTCGAAATTACGTAACCACCACGCGAAAAACTCAAATAATTGATAAAAATACATAATTGGGCCAAAAGCGCAGCGACCGGACAAAAAAATATAGATAAAAATAATAGGACGGGGGATAGTACATGGCATTCGCATGCGTTTCAACAAAATGTAGTGCGAAATAACCTGTCCCCATAAAGGAAATATTTTTCAAAATTAAAGCAAAGATCGACGAGTAGGGTGCGTCTGCAAGTAAAAAACGTGAAGAACATAAATTTTGCGAGTATCGCCCTAATTTTCTGATATATAACCTTATTATAGCACTTCACTTCATCTCGATTATCGTTGACGTAAAATGAGTTGCATAGAATATTTTGCAAAAAATCGCAAGCTCGTACATCTCATTGTTCGGCCGGAAATTCCCAAGCATATCTGCCGTGTGGCAGCACTCCTTTGACTGTTTTAATTGTTTATTATGCGCACCATTTAATTATCACAATACATTTTGTATCGCCACCTCCAAACCCCTAACAATTTAGTTGACCCCCTAGCAAGCCCCATACAAAAATATGGTAGCTACTACGTCATTGAAAGTTACCGGGATAGAGTGGCATGTAGATTGCCTACGGAGTGTTTAAATGCAAGGATACATTTCATCGGTGATATATCTTTTGGGCATGGTATCGTTCCTCATTTTAAGGTATTGTATTCATGTACATGTTTCAGCGTGCGATTTCTTTTATATACAGAGCAATTAAATAGCGACAAGGAGTGTTCCATTTAGGGCCAAGTCACACTCGTTAAACGCGCATTTCAACGCAACTCCCGACTAATAACACAATGTGAATTCCTGTGAACAGTTATACTATTGGTCGACAGTCCGCGTTTTAATGCGCGTTTGACGAGTGCAACTGGTTAACTGTGCTGTTAGCCAATCAGGGACTTATATTTCGAAGATAAACGGAGATTATGCATTGAACCGCGTTGAAAGAAATAGGCCTCAATTATATTAATTTATTCTTTTTAAACATTAGATGTAATTGGTTAATTCTGTCGAAACCTAAAATTGTAACACCCACTGAACTCTAATCATATTGGAATCCGTACGCCTGTATTCGGAGGTAATCCGGCCTCTCACTCACGGTGTAGATGAGGTTATCCTTTTCGAATTCGACTACGTATGTGGTTTACAAGCTCTGCAAAAATGTTGTCCCACCGACATATCAGTGCCAGCCGTGGTGCGATGGAAAGAGTAGTGAAATACAAATACATATAAATCCTATCTAAGCTCCATGATATAAATATAGAGCCTTCTAAAAACGACAAAAAGTATTTAGCAGTCTTCGAAATAAAATATATGTGCCACTATTTTAGGTTTATTATGTTGGCATAGTCCTCCCCGTGCGCACTGCTTTATCCCGGCTTAAACTTTTTCAGAGACTGTACGGTGTGTAATATAGACAGGCTGCTACACTCGCCTGTGTCCTTGGTATCTCTCTCTCTCTCTCTGCATGCCCCAACCACTGCCGTATGGATTCCAGTATGTTTAAAGTTCAGTGGTAACAGCTCTTCATTTTTAGTATTTTCACTACATTTGAGTTACAAAATCGACTCTCAGCATTGAAACAGGCTTAATTTCTACCGTGCACAGTTTAAACAGAGTTAAGCAGCCTTATTGGTCAAATCCATTCAACTCCTATACCTGACTGGTTAACTCTGTGTACACTCTGCACGGTGAAACAATGTACAGTTTCTTCATCGGTTAAAATTTAACCTCGGGATAAATCCCCAGCTAACCAATCATTTTCATGCTTTAGGAGTTTATCCGCAGATTAAATTTTAACCGAAGACGAAGAAGTTAGTTTCCACCGTGCACAGTTTAAACAGAGTCAAGCAGCCTCATTGGTCAATTCCACTCAACTCCTATACGTGATTGGTTAACTCTGTTTAAACCCTGCACGTTGGAAACTAAGACACAAGCCAGTATCTCGAGAAGTTGCTTAGGGGATTCAGGTATAGGCCGTACTGTATCTCGACATGGATACTATCTAATACGCCACTTGTGTCGACAGAAAACTACACATTCGTAGTATTACATATTTTCCACTGGAACCAGCGAATCGAGATGCTTGTGTCGGGGCAAGTCAATATAAATTGAAAATTGGAAAGCCCCCCTAATGGCGACAAAATTCCCGATGACGCCTTCCGGCATCAGCTCCCACTTTCTTTCACTCTTGTATACCCTTTTCCGGTAGGGTGAGAAGATGACGGGCTTCAGTGAAAAGGTTTGTAGTCAAAGTTTTACAGTTTTTAGTGTAAAAGAAGACACGAAATTGAACAAAATTCGTGTTAGTAAAGTCGTAAAAACTGCTGCAAGGATTTTTACTTCCACTTTTTGTTACTCAGATATATTAATAAGATAATTAGTGAATCGACTCATGTTGTTCCACAAGGCACACGTGTTTGCATTAAAATGTAATGTTCTTCCGTTCTTTCCAGCTTCATCCTTTAATCTTTCTCAATTCTAATGGCTGATAATGGTTTAGTTTGTCAAAAATCGTATGAAAACTTATATTTTAGTTGCAAGTGTAAAATGACAATGACGCTCACACATCGGTATCACTTTGTTACAGTACTTAGGGAAGTAGCAAATACATACGTATTTTGAAACATGCTTTTTTTAAAAACAAACAGTATGCACTACTTTTAATATATTGTTCTAAGAATAGTTACAAAAATGCAGTAAATATTTACATTTGCTTAAAAAATAAACGATCATATTTACGCATTTTCAGCTAATCATTGGAAATTTTGCAATTTAAGAGAGAATCATATGTGTGATAATATTTTATTTTTATTTTTCAGCCAATACTGATAGATGGCCGTGGCCATCTACTTGGTCGCTTAGCAGCTATCATTGCTAAAACTATTCTGCAGGGCAATAAAGTCATCGTTGTTCGTAGCGAGCAGCTTAATATTTCTGGAAACTTCTTTAGGTATGTAATAATATTTTTATTATACTATAATCTTAACACTTTACAGGAGGGAGACTGCAGTCACAGTCTGGAAAAGAACAAACATTGAAAGTAGGAGGCTGTAATATCAGTTACATGATAGACAACAGTGAATTACTATATTCTGTGACTTTAAAGGAACTTGTGTTGTATTTAATTTCATTTTTTGTTATTTATTACATAATTAACTAGCACAATAAAAAAAATTGGATTTGCCCATTACATGTTCAGAAACATGGAAAATCGCACCTACCTGAAAAGTATTAATATGTTTGGTAATATGATTAACAATATTCTTACCTACATTATTTGATGTACAATGAAACTTATTTATATTATGATTTTATCTGCTAATATTGCTATCCATTGTCATTTAAGTAGATAGATTATTAAAAACTATTTATTAAATTTCAGAAACAAGCTGAAGTTCATGTCTTTCCTTCGTAAAAGGTGCAATGTGAACCCAGCACGTGGTCCTTTCCATTTCCGTGCACCCAGTAAGATTCTGTGGAAAACAGTACGTGGTATGTTACATTTTCTTATGTATATATTTTCTATAAATTTTAATTACAAACTGTGATTACAACATTCTTACCTACATTATTTGATAATGTCATGAAACTGCCTATTTCAATGAGTCTTCATATCCAATAAATTTATTCTATTATATATATATATATTATGTTTTGTTCCATTTTTTAAAAATTTGTTTAGGAATGGTTCCACATAAAACACAGAGGGGCAAGGATGCTCTTAGAAGACTAAAGGTATATGAAGGATGCCCACCACCTTATGACCGTAGAAAACGCGTTGTTGTCCCAGGAGCTATGAGAGTAATGTGCCTGAAACCTGGCAGGAAGGTAATAGATTTTTGCATGACAAATTTATCCTAATATAATTTATTAAATGCTATAATAGTAATTTGTTTAAGTTTCTACAATGTTTACATTTTTTTCTTTTTTTTTCCCAGTATTGTCATGTCGGTCGTTTATCGCATGAAGTAGGCTGGAAATACAAGGCTGTGGTGCGTACTCTCGAAAACAAGAGACGCGTCAGATCTATTTTGGAGGTACAAAAGAGGAACAAGCTTAAGGTAACTGAATATTATATTTTTAATTTATTTAATCTCAACTACTCAGATTTTTATTAACCTTTAGAAGACTGGTATTTTCGATCAAACAGTGGTTTTTTTGATGCTGAAAATCAATATATATAATTAAAAAAAGTGTAGTGTGTTTGTGCGTGTAGCTTCATCTCTATATCAACCCCTAGAGCCCCATGAGGGTTATATGATGTGGTAGCACACTATTCCCCATCGAACGAGTTTATGTTGTGGAACTGATATCATTTCAGGATATTGAGAAAATTCTATTTTTTCATACAGCCTCTCTCCCGTTGTGAAACCCGTACTTCTCGTTTTTCGTTTGATTCATTTCTTCGCTGTCTAGAAAGTTTCAAAAAATTCGATAGAATTCCGTAGAATGCTCCATAAAATTCTAAAAATATCAAAAAAAAATAAATTTAGAAAGATCTGCATAATTTGATAGAATTCCAAAAAATGTCCCAGAAAGTTCTAAAAAAATTGAAAGGAATTTCATATAATGTTCGAGAATATTCTAGGAAGGTCTAGAAAATTCTAAAGAATTCCGTTTAATTTTTCCTTAGCAAAGCAAGGGCAATTTGCTAGATTATAAATATACATATAAACAAGACATTGCGCGAATCTGTGGGTTTCTTCCGAAACTGGAATAGTCCGGTCCAGTCATCTAAAGGTTAAGCCCTTCATGGGATATAATCTTATTCAATGATGGTTAATGGTAATTTGCGACTGAAGATGGTACTCCATCAGTGTTGACAATCTTCACTGAGAAATTATTATTATATAAAATGTATTGTTCATGTTATTCTCGACTATATTAATACTTGATTTGTAATATTTATTTGTAGAAACTCACCAAACAGGCTGGTGAATCTGTTGCAAAGACCACGGCACCATATACAAAAATTATCAATAATTTTGGATACAATTAATACCGTGTATTATAAGAGGAAAATAAAACCTTGTCCACTCTAAAAACTCTGTTTATTTAGTCCTATAATGAAAAATTTTATATCCGAAACAAAAATGCATTTCTTACATTGTACAAATAGATTGAATCGTAAATAAACACGTAACAAGATACAATTGTTCATTATTATCTTATTCTATCATACTACGTATCTATTGTACCAGTTGTTACGAAAACAGTACCCGCTTTGTCAGCTTCATCATCATGAATCTCATGTTGCTCCTCGTCGTCCGAACTTGATGCAGATGAACTCAAACCTTTTTCAATATTCGAACGATAATTACCTACATTAACAGGGACATCGCCCAAACTATGCGATCCAAATTGTTCAAGTAGTCGCTCGGCAGCGTGTTGAGCATGGACTTTCTGAAGTCTATCCACTTGTTCCATTTGAAGCCTTAATGATTCCTGTAAATCCAATAATTTTCCAATACCATGAACTGTAAATGGTGGTGTGGCAGCAGTCACTTCCCAGTGCTTGTGCTTTTTCCGTTCTCTCTCCTTCGCAGGATCATGAACATTACTCTTTGTTGTTTTAAATGGTTTAAAAGGTTCCCGTTTCTTTTGTTCATGTGACTCCTGTGGTCTTTCAACTTTGTTTACAATATAGTTTACATGCTTCATGTTGACATGTTCTGCTTTCTTAAACGATTCTATTTCCTCCAGATCCTCACGTGTTATTAAACTCTTAGCAGGTGCCAACTGTATTATTTTCCTTTTGTGAGTACCGCTACCTGTTGGCTATTTAGTAAATTTAATACAAAAAGAAAAACTTAGTATATATAGGTAGATATCCTTATTGGTTTGCATTAGTTCATATTTTTCAGTAAAAAAAGTACCAAGAAAATAATTTACCTGTGCAAGAATTTTCAGAGGATCATCTTCATCATCACTATCCAGTTCTGCAACCTTTATTCCAGCAGATTTGTCTGTATAGTTACCTCTCCATTCCATTTCATTCATTGCCACTTTACCTTCGGCAGCAATGTTGAGTCTTGATAAAAGTTTGGCAGCATCCTCAACATCATTTCTGTGTTTAAGTTCTACAATAATCTTGTTTCGGAATTTTGTAATTTTCTGTCCCTTATCAGGTAGTTTGGCTATGAAATTTCTGTAGAATAAAAGAAACAAAGGGGTATTAAAGTCTTTATTCCTAAGATTTATAATACTTACTTGTTAAGCAGAAGTTTTGTTTGTCTCTGTAAAAGTTCTTCAAGCTCGAATTTTTCTTTCTTGCTAAGATCATCAATATAACCCACATGTTCGTTTTTAGATGGTGGAGGAATATCCCCGGGGATTTTTTTTATTATTTTCTCCTGATGCATATTTCCTCATTTAAATGAAAGTGTTTCTCGAGACATTGATACGCCACGAAATTCACATCATAGACCCAGGTTCACTGGGTTCCAATAGCAAGTTCTTCAAAATAGAAACATACTAACTCGTCTAAAGCCAATTGAAGTATACATATGTTTCTAGCGTGTAGGGTTCAAATAGAGTTAACCAATTACAAACGAGATTTGAGCGGAATAAGCTAACTTGATTGGTTAATTATATTTCAACCCTACACGGTGAAAACATATGTTCCTTCCCTTCCTTTCCTTATGGCTGACTCCTCCAATGAGGAGATGTGCCAGGAAAACATCCTTCCTTTCCTTATGGCTGTATCCCCAATGGGGGACATGTGCCAGTAACTGGTCCTAATAATCAAGGTTGGAAGTTCGACAATAGATAGCGATGTACCTTGCGAGACGGGCCTTATTCAACTCAGCGTGAGGGGACCTACAAAGTTTATACACCGAATCCGAACAGTTTTGGGCGAAATCCGTATAAATACTCACTTAAGTTTTCATATGAAAACCCATTGGTGAATGCCGCTGGAAGCTGGGCGCGAACCTCCAACCTTTCGGTCGTGAATCCGCTACGCTATCCACTGGGCTACGGCCGCCCCGCCAGGAAAACATATGTTGTGACGCGTATGCGTACCAGAGATGAGTAGGGAGATTGCTAATGAGCCTGTTTTTGGTGGTCTCAA